GCTGGAATTTGGGCTCCATGGAGAGGAACATCTGTCTGTCTTGTTTATCACTATGTCCCCAGCACCTAGCATGGAGTCTGACACATGGCAGAGGCTCAGCAAACATTTGTGGAATGGATGAAGGGCTGCAATATGTTGGAGGTCCGGGTGTATCGCCAAGGGAGCTGATGAGAAGGTAGAGGGGAGTTCACCCTTGAGAGAAAAGAGTACTAGGATTTAGAATCATAGAACATTGGAGCTTGAAGAGACCTCAGAGGCCATCTAATAATCTGCTTTTTGATTTACATATGAGGAAACCAAAGGGAAGGAGCTACTGTCTGGACAAAGATGGGTGGGATGAGAGGGAGGTGGCAGCCACAGAGTAATGCAAGGTGATGGTGAAAAGTGAATATTTGGTGCTGATAGGACCCCTAAAGTAAGTAAAGATATATTCCTTCTGGGCATGGTGGCCCTGCCCCTGCACTTCCCAGTCTGGACACTGGCCTCCTGACATGACCACCAGATGGCACCAGCTCCCCAGGCAAGGGAGAAAGCAAAGCTGGCTGGCTCACCCTCTGGTTCCATCCTCCTTCCTGGGTTCCTCTCCTCTGTGAGCCCAGTTGCTGTGGCCGTGCCCAAGTGGCATGATACTTGGGCTCCAGGGAACAGCTTGCTTCAACAGGATACCTTTTCTCAGTGCCAGGGACGGGGTGGGCAATGGCCCTCGACATAGGTATTGGCCAGCACTGCCTTTTATCCCTCCTGCCAGCCTCCCAGAGGCCCCTGACACAGTCTGCCCTGCATCAACCCTTCCCCAGGGGCAGGACTCTGGCCAGGCTGACACCTGCTCATCTTGTTGGCCCAGGTGAGGTTCAGTGGGTGGCACTGGTCCCACTGCATCCTCTGCCTACCTCGCCAACCTGAGCTGGCAGGTGCCTGCCCTGCAGTTGGTGGCTCCAGTCCTGCTGGCTTGATGGGCTCCTCTGGGGCCACTCCCGGCCCCTTCTGGAAGCTGCTCCTGCTCCTATCCTGAAGACCTATGCCTGCCCCATGCCTCCATTTTCCTAACCTTGCCAAGCATGCCTCAGCCTCAGCCAGGCGTCCACTAGAGCAGTGCCAAGGTGATCCAGCCCCTCTTCAGTATTAGGAAGTCCCATTTATTCAGTCAACAAACATCTATTGAGGACTGCCTAGGTATCTGGAAGGTAGTAGTGAACTGGACAGATGCAGCTGCTGGCATCTTTGAGCATGCAATGCAATGAGGGGCCAGATGTTACTCTCGCATTACCAAACAATTGTTTAATTGTTCATTTAAGTTCCCAAGGTTGCAATTTCAGTCCCTTTCTAGAACTCTTAGAATTTCAGAACAGAATGAAGCTTAGAAATTATCCTGATATAACCCACCACCACCATCCTTTCAAGACCCAGGGATTCCAGACTTCCAGCCCAGTGCTCATTCACTGTACCCAGGAGCCACGGGTTGGCAAGGGGGTGAGGAGAGAGGACTGAGGCTTGATCTCGTGTTCAGCGATAAATGAATGAACCCCTAAGAAGGGGCTTGCCCCATGTTGCCCCTTCTCTGTGGGGGGTTGGGGACTCCAAAGCAGGCCCTGCCCGCCTCCCCTGCTCCCATCCTGGGACGGGGAGCCAGCCCGCCCAGTGCCCTTCCTGCCCCCAATGCCGCAGGCTCTCTTGGCGCCCTCTTGGCAGCAGAACAGAGGGCACCTAGAGCGGGTGGCAACTCGCCCCGCCACGGGCTCAGAGCGGCGGGCGATAGGCGCTGGGGGGACGCGGAGATGGACGGACAGATAG